TTTTGAAATAAAAATAAATCATCATTTGATATTATTATATTTGATAATAAATTATATTATATATTAAATACATCATATTTCTTTATTATTTATCTTTCTTTTTATTATTTCATATATTAAATTATTATTCATTCATTTATTATTTATATTTCATTTATTAAATAAAATGAAAATGAAATTGTAAAATATCAATCAATTAAATATTCATGAATAATAATTTATTAATATTTAATAATTGAAATAACAAATAATAAAGTAACAATAATGATATATTCAATATATTCTTTATTTGATTTGTTCAATATTAGATTATTCTATTTCATTATCATTTCATTGTCATTTCATTATTTTATTTCATTTATTATTTTTTAAAATCAAATAAACAATAATATTGATATTCATTCATCATATTCATTTAATATAATAAATATACACAACATTTCAGAATAAATAATGAATATTTAACATTTAAAATATTGATTTATTCAATATTTTATTCAACATAAATTCAATAAAACATATATTTAGATAATACACAAATGAAATAATAAAGAAATATACAATACTCAAGAACTAATAAAAAGAAATAAAAAGAATGAATGAAAATAAAATTGATAAATAATAGAAGAAAGAAATAGAAAAACAACGAAAAACAAATAATATAAAAAGAATATAAATATATAAAAGAATAAAAAGTAGAAGAAGAATATAAAAATAATAAAACACAAAGAGGCAATAAAAGAAGAAAAGAAGAAATAAAAAGTGTATTTTTAATGTAAAAATTACAAATATTCAATAAAAGTGTCTAATTTAATGATGTAAAATAAGTAATATTATTTTATTGATGAAAAATATTTTACTCTTTTTATGTTATTATTTATATGTATAACTTCATTATGATGTTTATTATATATTCAATCATATGTGTTATGTTATTATAACATTTAATAAGTGATAAAATATAAATGAAAATGTTATGAATATATGAAATTGAATATAAAACAAAAGAATAATAAGAATAAATGATAAATAAAACGAGAAATGATAATCAATGATATAATAATAAAATCAAAATATAACAGATAAATTTAATATTAATATAAATCAAAAGAGAATAAATATAAAATGAAAATAGATATAAATGATAATAATATAAAAATGATAATAATATAAAAATGATAAAGATGAATATTCAAATAATAAAATACATTTAAATATAAAAGAATAACAATAAGAAAATCTAAATAATATAAACATAAAAACATAAAATAAGAAGAATATAATAATATAATAATATATAGATAATAAGAAGAATACAATGATATAAATAATATAAACAGAGAAATAAATATAAAAATACGATAGATAAATAACATATAAATAAAAGAATATGAATAATAAAAATAAATATGAATAATCAAATAATAATCTACTTCATTAATATTTCATACAAAATGAATACAATTGATAATAAAATATAAACATAAATATTTATATATTCTGTATTTATCATACTTTTTATTTTTTTATTTTTATTTGTTAGGAGCAAAATATAATAAATGGAAAATTCTATGGATGCAAATTTTTTTGCATCTTTTTTCTTTTTTGTAAATTATTTAGATGCATTTTTTCTTTGCTAATTTTCGTACCCGATTTTTCATATATTCTTCCTAGTTTAGCGGAGACTAATCACTGAGCTGTTTAAAAAAGAGTAATCTTTTTGTTTAACTTATCATTTATGTTTTTCTTGAAAAATGTTAAAATCACTTCTTTGTTTTATTTTTTCTTATTAATGTCTTCTCATCCTTCTTCTGCTTAATTCTTCTTTTTAACCTTTTGTTTATTTTCTATCTTAATTTTAAACATTTTCTTTTTCCTTTTTTCTTAATTTTATGAATGAGAGAAGAGAGTATTTCATTCCCATTATATTATTATGTTTAATTTTCTTTTAGTCTTACCCACACTTTAGTAGTTCCTTATATTACACCATGTAATATTCTATCATAATATCTTGCTACACCCTTTGCAGTTTTACCTAATACATTTCTAATTCAAATACACCGTCATAATCAGATAATAACTGGGAGTGTCGATGCTTGAATTTGTACTAGGGTTTGTGTGGTGTTTCAGACATGCCACCTTCGATCTCCCCAAATAGTATAAAAATACAAATAAACAACAGAAAGATAATAAAAAGAAAATAAAGAAACTACACATTCATTTAATATAAATAAACAAAATAATCATCAAAACCACTTTTATTTAATAATACACTATTTAGAAAAGCATTAAAATATTAATCTTACTCCTGATTATTTATACAAACTCAATTCTTCTTTTAATAGTTTTGTTGATGCTCAAAATTTAACAGATAAAATGAATTAATTAAATAACCGATTGCATTGATAAAAATTAATGAAGTATCAAATAATTTTATCAGTTTACTCAAATTTAAAAATAGTGTTGAAAAATGAATGGTTATTTGATGAAAAATGATATTAATGAATATTTAGGAATTATTGTCACAGAAGATAATAAATATGTTGTTAATCAAGGAACTACTTCTGAACATAAAACTAATCATAAAATGTATGAAATAGAAAAGTACAAAATTATAATGATAATGAATGAAGAAGTTATAATTTAAACAATAAGAAAAGAAGAAATTGAAGAATGTTACAATGATAAATTGAACTAATTTAATAGTTTTGTTAATATTTTATTGTTTCAAATAAATGATAATTTGAATAAAAAGAAATAAAATAAACAATAATGAATAAATAGTTATAACATTCTTATACATTATTCAGTTGTATAATTTTATCATTATTCATAAATTAGAATATTAATACTTGTTAAATTTACATTAACATCATTGAAATATTCTACATTATTTATTTTTATTTTATTAAAATTATTATAATAAATAAACTCATATTCATACATTCTTTATTTTAATTATTAAAATAACATATGATTATTGTGTTTATTCAAAAAACTATTTAGTATCATTTCAAGTCTATAAAATGCATTCTATTCTTTTCTTCTTCTATTTCTTTTATTTATCTTTATTTTATTAAACAAAAATATATTTTAAATTATTCTTTCTTCAATTAGAGAATTAGTGCGATTATTCCAATAATAACCATGCTTACGTTTATTATGCTTATTGGTAGTGCATTTGAACAAACGTCTTCAATACATTTGTTTTTGATATAATCAAATTTATATCCTGAATCACAATATGCCAATACACATTTTGTACTCCATTCTCCATTATCTCCACATTCATATCCTCCATGTCCATGCTTTTTATTAATTTCTTCATCACATTTTTCATCTCTTTTAACTAATCTTTTATTCTTTGGATTACATTTCGTTTTATATTTCTCTACTATTTTCTTTGTTTCTTCTTCAAATTCTTTTATCTTATCGTTTGAAAATTGATAAATATCCACTCTTTCATCAATCATATCAATTAAAAATTCTCTAGGAATTGTTTCATCATATTTATAATTAAATCTGTATGTTTCTGTAAAAGTCAATTCCAATTTATATCCATTTTGTTTTAAACTATTATTTGAATCTATTTCATTAATATTAAAAATATCTTCAGTTGGTGATACTCCTACTTCAAATTCTTCATCTTTTCCATATGGATCACCATCAAATCCTACAAGAATAGCTCTTCCCCATTCTTTTAATCCTTTTGTTACCAATGAACATGCTGAATGACAGTATGAATCTGTATAAACTACTATTTCTGTTGGTTTTCTTGGATATCTTATTAATTTCAATTTTGGATAACGATATAAATACTCATTCAATTCAGAAAATGTACTACTATTCACTATTGATGGTTGTGTAACTTTATGTTCAACATCTCCATATTTAATAATTCTTGGTTTTGTATACCATGATCCAAGTTTTTTTCAAACCACCCCTACGTTCTCTGCTTTCACATGTTTCTGGATCACATATGCGTATACCATATCCATGTTTCATTTTATTTTCTGTAATTCCTGATATTCTTGCTGAAAGTATATAATCAAAATCATCATATGGTGATAATACTTTCTCAATTATTTGTGCAAGTGGTACAGTTTTTTCTTTATAAAATTCTGATGAATAACCTCTTCCATTTTGTGGGAATATTACTTGAATTGGATAATCATTTGAATCAAACTTATCAAGACATTCAGTTAATTTATCCAAATAATTATCCCACCAAAAAAAACTTTTTACAATTAATGTATTTACTTTGTTGCTTGTTGTTAAACAACATATTTCTTCATATTCAGAACAATTAGGTTTATATTCATCATTTTCTTGTTTTATTCTTTTTCTTTCATTTCCTTCTTCAGATTTTTCTTTCCTTATTCCATTTCGTATTCCTCTTCTTTTACTTCTTTCAAATGCTTCTTGGAATGTCTGCTCCCAACTATCATTCACGACATACATATTATAATTAACTGTTAGTCTTTCTCCATTTTCCCATATAATTGTTATTGGTGTATTTAAATATTCTTTTGTTAATGGTAATCTACCCAATAATCCATATGTTATTGCTGATTTTGCTTCTGTAAATTGTGCATGTGGACATTTTAGTCCTACATATTTCTTTCCAAATTTCCGAATAAAATTAAATGGATCTTCTCCATTTATTGTTATAACTGATACATTCTGATTATTTATAATTTCTTCTGGTACGTCAACCCCAACAGAATAAGTAGTAATACGAGGAAGTTCATTTCGTGGATTTAAATACATTTTCTTATCATTATCTATATTTATTGTAAATGGAAGAAAATATCTGAAACGTCTGAATTCTGAATTTGGTTTTTTAAGAGAATAATCTATACTAAAAGCTAAGTTAGGGTCTCTTGTTGAAATAATAAGATTTTTTATTTCTGAGTAAAACTCATACAGACTTGTTGTTTTTGTATTTATTTTATCTAATTCTGAATCAATATCCACTTTCTCATAATAATTATTTGAAAATGATGGTTGTGGTGGATTTTTTAATATGTCTTTAAATACATATGCATTTAAATAGTACTTCAATTCATTAATAATATCAGTATTTTCATCCTCTGTTGTTTGAATGGATTCAATACATTCAAATGCACTATCAACTGTTTCTATATGATTCCAACTAAACCTTGTTTCATTACACTGTTTTGATAAAGAAAAAGAAATAAATAGAAGTAATACAATATTCATATATAATGATTATATCGTTCTAGTTTTATGTTTAAATATTCACTTATCCTTTCTTTCATTTACCCTATTTTATAATTTATTCATAACTTCTTCAATTTCTTTTTTCTTTTTTATGTTTATTTTTATTTAAACATCACTCACTATTCTTTTTTCATGTTTTATTCTTATTTTTATTGAAACAACATTCGTTTTTGTCGTATTTGTTTTTATTTTATCGTTATGTATTTTATTGTTTTTACTCTTATTTCCTTTTCTTTATTTTATTATTTTACCCCCTTTTTTATTTGTTTGATTCTTTATATTTTCATTGTTTTATTTTTTATTACTCTTTATCTTTATTTGTTTGAAAATATTAATGATTTTCTTATTTCTTTTATATTTTATATTTTATTCTTCTTTACTCCATTTATTCTTATTTCATGCTCATTCGACGTTATTGTTAATTATTTATAATTGTAACTACTTTTTCACATTTATTTTACTCATTTGAAATTATCATCAGTTTATTATAATTTCAAATGAGTCAATATGAAAATAATAAACAACAATGAAAGAAATGAAGATGAAAGAAATGAAGATGAAATAAATGACAATAATAAAATAATAATCAAATGAATAAACACATGAAATATAAAACAGTGATGAAATGGTTAATATTTATTATTTCATTTTATTGTGAATTATTTTAATCAATTTATTCTTTTGTTTTTTTCATTTTGAAATGATAAATAAATCATTTAAATTATTTAAATAAAGAAGAAAAGAATATAGAAATAAAACAATTATTTGATTAATATAATCACACTTATTTATTAACAAGAAATGAAAATATAAAATAGCATAATAAACATAAATTACAATAAATTCAATTGAAATATAATTATTTTGATTTATACAATTATTTAACATTTCATTTATACAATGTTTCAAATGATAATATACAAATAACAATAAAATGATAAAATTAAATATTTAAAACAAATGAACATCAAAATAATAATTCAATAACATGATAAAAGAATAATAAAATAAAATTCATTTCTATTTTCTTATTTATCTTTATTTTTATATTATTATTACTCTTTTATTTTCTTCCTATTCATTTTGTATATTTATTCTACTATTTTGTTTATATTCTTATAATTTCTCTTTATTCATTTCTTTTTTATTTTTATTCTTATTTTATTTCTAATTTCAATATTCAATTATTTTAAATTAATTTCCTTCACTTAAACAATGACACATTCATCATTACAATATATCTTTTTCAACACCACATTCTTTTTTAATTCGTTCGGACATCCTTCATAACATTCATGTCATATTTCACTAACACTTATTGGTATATTAATTGCTGTTAATTTTGTACATCCAGAAAATAATTATTTACTATCACTTCAATATTTATTGGTGTATTGATTTGAAGAAAAACATTCATCGGCTATTCCATAAAATTCTTTTCTAGTATTTTTCTTTCCATATTTTTTCTATGTCTTTCACCCTAAAAATAGTTTATTATTTTATAGTTATTTCATCTTCTTTAAATATTGTTGAATGAAGAATTATCATTCTTTCTAAATTATTCCAGTGATGTTTATTATTCTTTTATTTTATCATTACATAATCATAAAAATAGTATTTTCTTTCGTTTTCAATTATGTAAATATGAATATGTCGTTATTTTTATCGTATTATATCAACACAAGTATTGTTTTATTGTTACTTATATATTTTCATCTCATAAATTATTTCTTTTTCTTTCCTTTTTCTTTTTTATTTATTACATCCTTTTATTTTTCTGTTTGTTGTCTTAATTCATTTTATTCATTTTGTACATCTATCTTTCATTCTTCTTTTTATTACTTCTTTTATATTTTAATGTAAATTAAAATTTTTCATAATTTTATTATATGCTCTATTTCATTATTTGATAGAAAATACTTTTATCCATTTGTTGACTTGAATTTCTTTAAATTAAAAACTGATCAAAACAACCAACATATTTCTTATTTCATTCTATTTTCTCTATTGTTTATTTTTTTAATTTTATCGTTAATACTATTTCTTTGTTTCATCATTTCAAACATCATTATTTCTGAAATTATAATAACATTGAAGGGGTAATGGTTATGATATAAAATATTGTATTTTTTATTTCAATTCTTTTCTTTCGACTAAAAAATGAAAAACATGAAATATCCCAAAAACATTAAACATAACAACAAAAGAGAAAATCATATCAACAGATAAATGTAAATGATAATAGAATGTATGAAATATGTATTATTTGTATAATCAGATATACACTAATCATAATTATAATTATATGAATCATTTCATTCATTTTATCATTATAAACATTTTAATAAAAACAATGAAAATAAACAGAAAATAACAAATAAAAGAAAATAAGTGAATCACACGTTGTTTAAACGAAGAAATTTTGAAAATACATCAGAAGTGTAACTAGAATATTCAACGATAAGAAATTAACAATAACAAAATAGAGATTATTGAATATAAAAAGAAATACATTTCTCAAAAGAGTAAAGATACAAGAAAGAGTAAGTATTACAGAAATATTAATTCTAAAATACTCGTCAATGTTTCATTAAAACCACAATTTGATTCGAATCATATTCACTTTCTTTTATTATTTATTTCTCTTTTTTCTTCGTGTTTCATCTTTCATTTTATTGTGAATGAATAAAATACATTGAATATCAGTATTTTTGTTTATTTAATAAATTTATTCAACTCTTTTTGATTTTATCTTTTACAACTTTCTTCTTTTTTAACTATTCATTTGGTTTTATGGTTATATTATTTTATTCATATTACACACATCTAAAAAGTATTTAATTGAAGTATATCATATATATAACTTTAACATTTTGTTGAGTATTATCAGAAACTCTTTATTCATTAAAATTATTATTGATATAACTCATTTTAATATCATATCTTTGTACATTTAACACAATTCTTTAATATTTTATTATCATTTTATTCAAATTCTGTCAAAATGAATATTAACAACAAATATGAATCAATTAACTTCTTTATGTTTGAATTTGACTTACCAGTTATTTTTAAATATTCTTTTGAATATTAAAATTACTTAATAAACTTTAAATCACATAAATAAACAAATATATTTAATTTTAATTGTTTTATTCTTTGTTCATTTCATATTTTATCATTTATTCATTTTTCAAATACATTATAAAAATACACAAAATGAAGTTTGTTATTTTACAATTAGAGAAGAAGAAAATAAATTGTACAAGTTATAGTGTTTCATTCATTATGTAAAATATCAAATGAGAATTACTTTAAAAAAAAACAAATGACATTCATTGTTGTTTATAATTGTTAATAACATAAAACTATTCTTTCTTCTTTCAAATAATTTTAAAGGAAATGACAATTTTCATACATCTATTCTTATTTTAATTACATTGTATTTGATTTCTATTTTGAATTTATTCATTATTTCTTTATTCATATTATACAATTAAATTCAATTGAAAATAAAATCATTTTATTTCCATAATACTCTCATCTCGTTGCATTTTATGAATTATGAAAATAATCAGATTATTTATAAAAACAATAAAATGATATAAACTTATAATTATTCTTATTTTCTCATAAAATATTTAAAATCATTATTTATTTCATATATTCATGAATGTGTCAAATAATAACATTTTTATTGTTGTACTTGAAATTTCGTCTGTAATTAAATATTATTGATAAAAAATAAAGTCAAATTGATGTTTTATTCATTAATAAAATGAAATAAAATTAATTTAATTAATTATTTCTGAATTAATTCTCTTTTCTTCTTGTTTATTTAATCATTTTTGATACATTATTAATTTATTCTTCATTAAAACTTCATTTATTTCAAATAAATGATATTTTCATCATATTTTATAGTTTCTGATTTTCATTTTATTATATTTGAATAATTATAACAATATTCAATTATATGAATTTAGATAATACTTCATTCATCATTTCTAATTCTTCTGTTTTATTGTTTATTAGTCTTATTTCATTCATCTTTATTTCTCTTGTTTCATGTTATTAGAAATATAATACTTTTCCATTTAACACAACAATGTTGAAATATCATTTTCTTTTCAATATTTCAAAAACCATTCTATAATTTATTTAATTCTATTGAAAATATGAAATTATTATCTGAGTTGATACAATAACATCATTCTCTCTTTTATTTTTTATTCATTGAAAACTATTCAATTATAATTCAATCATTTCTATCATCTTTTAAGTTATGTCATATTGTTTCTTGTGTTGATGATTTTAGATTCTCATTTATATTAATTATTTTCTTCTTCAAAATAAAAGTACCATTCAAATTATACATTCATTTATTCTTCAAATCATTGTTATTTTGAATTGTATAATATTTTCACTATTCATTTGTTGTTTTTATTTATCAGATGGTTAAATGATACCTTCCAATGAAATATTATAAAACACATTTCATTTAACTGTTGTTAAAAATAAATAAATTTGTTAAATTAACAATTTCATTCATCTAAAATCATTCTATATGAATATTTATTTGTTAAATTATACAATTAAAGAAATATGAAATGTTTGATGAAATAAAATAATTGAAATAAACAAAATCTAATGATAATTAATTAATAGAAAATAATAAATATTCATATTCAATTTAATAAAATAAAGAATATGAATAACTTATTTATTAATTATTATTACACTGATAATTTAATTTGTCTGTTCATTTGATGTTTTATATTAAAATTAATAATTAATGTGAATAATATTTCAATTTATTTTATATTCATTAATGTGAATAATATTAGTTTAAAAATATAAAATAATAGTCAATTATGATATTTAGATAGTATGAATATCAAATAATTTACAAATATTACAAAATAATGATAAATAAAATAATAAATACATTTCATCAATGTAATTTATGATAATATTAA